TTTCAGAATACTGTACAAATCCGTGAGAAATATAACCAGTTATCTATTCGGGCATGTGTTGGAATGTCACAGAATGTGTAATCATTATTTAATCCCCACAATATTTACACATGTTTTTCTAATTTATAAGGATTAGCTTAATACCGAGTGATAAACGCTAATGCTTGTACACAAGAGAAAGAAGACGTCGGCCGCCATTTATAACCCATATTTAATTAGAGAAACATCTGCTCAGACACAGCAGACGAAACAAGGAAAAAGAAATCAAAATAGGAAAGGTTGTCGTAATCGTAAAAGATAATCGAAAATAATAAATGACAGCTACTGCACGCGCGCGCTCAGGCGCGGCAATATTTCTTGCGTTTTAGGTTATTATACAGATATTATAATAATAAATACAATAAATAACCTCAACCCTGCCGCTAGAACCTTTATATACCATATATACCATTACACGGTTGTGGAGAATAGGGGTGTAATTCATGAATCTACCGCTGGTTCACAATGGAACGGCGATGGGGATGTCACAGTCTGACTATAAATCATTCTTACAATTAAATCCGCTAAACTACAGTAAAATACCGTCGACTTTACAATTCAATTGCATATAGACCACCTGTATGCATGTTATGCATATTAATACGTTCTCTTATACATATTTTTCGATATAACTTAAAGGGAGACGCATCGGTAGGGCATAATTATAAAGGTGTAAAACAATGAACGGGTTTTCATTGCAGATCTCGAAGGATTAAGGAAAATTGTTTTACTGGTTGGAATTATTATTAGTGTAGTAAACTTTTAATTATTTAAAAGTTATGAATGAAAATAATTCAGTGGAATTGATGCCTGAAGTTACATTCATTATCATTTTGTTAATAATTCCGATGTGCTGACTGTCGATTCAGATTTAATGTTTTGCGCCGTTTCTATTTGTTATCGGTTACAGACGTTTATCAAAGATTTTATTATTTTATTTTTCAGTCCTCCTAAAAGATGACCGTTTTCAATCAAACCAATTTCAATTATTTGCAAAATTTTTTATTACGTTATGTATTTTCGTCAGAATATCCTACCCAGATTAAACTACAGAGTGTTCGCTTTCAATCCTTTGAAAAAATTGTAGAAGAAAATCTAAGAACAAAATTTCAAACCGGAGTTTTCTACGATGAGTAGTTTTCAAATTATTAACGATGAAAGTTTGAAAGACAGAACATGTGACGTCATCCCGACATCATGGGTGCGGCGGCACGGATCCAAGCAGTCCAAACGCGTCAGTTCTTTCATATTCTAGTTCGCTTTCCTTTGAAAAAATCAAGAAAACCTTACTGAAGTATCATCCGAACATATATCCTCAGATAAATTTGAATATTTGTAATAAATTTCTGTACCCAGCTCAGATTGGATACCTATGCTTTCAGTAAGCTGTATTGGTTCCATTTGATTCAGTTCTTCTGTTTGATTGTGGCATATGTTTGATGTTGAACTGCGGTTTCTCCACTACGAAGTTGATCGTTTACCCACAATAAGCAATCATTTTATTTTATAGCTTTATTAGGACCTTTGTTTCCTGTGAGATGTAAAGAAGGGATTGCAGTATTGTCAAGCTTCTCAAAACTTTATGCTGAGGCACAGGGTCCTTTTCTTCTTGTATCTTCCAAAAAAAATTATCATCTTTAAAGTGGACACTGCAAACGACGTGACTATATTATGATTCAGCGGTTTTTTCTACTTTTCCAGACGTTATTTCGACACGGCTCCTTCTTTTCTCGGGGAAAATTTGCAATGTAACATTGGCATTTTTCAAATTATTGTTGCAGCGGAAAACACAAAGTTAAGCATTTTTGAAAATAATGCAGATCACTGACTACTAGTCTCAAATTAACACGTCAAACGTCATCGAATTCATATATTGCTATAGCGCGCCACCGACCCATTTGTCGGGATGACGTCACAACGACCGTTTTTTACATTCGACACCTTGCCATTTAATAACGAAACGGGGTAGCGACTTGCGGTTTTCACCGTTACTCTTAGATATTTTTAATCTATCTTTAGACGAAAACATGAAATTTGCAGTCCCTTTAATACAATTTTAAGAATTGTCCCTTATCTTTTCTTTTTTTCAAGAAAATGACCAAATTAGAATGCGGCTACTATAAGAAAAATTAACCATCGATCGTCCATATTAACATTGAATAATAATTCAGAGTTATTATTCAATGGTTTCAGATTTATTATTCAATGATATTACATAACTTTACCCAACAATATATTATACGAGTAGTACAGACACATTTGAATTAGAAAATTAATTGTTTATATGTTGAAGACAATGGTTGGAGGATGTCAGTGATACGGGACAGCCTTGCTGTTGAAACACATTATACATTATGTATGGAAATAGTATAAATCTCGGTAAATATCATTTGTTTTATGTTGATGTAGGATATCTAGAATAATGTTATTAATGTGATTATAATACTTTTTTTTTTAATGTTCTTGTATTAGGGTACTAACATGTTACATCGTCGAAAAGAGTCCAATGAAAAGGTGCACTGCTATTTAAAAAAATTCAATTGTTACTCATTTGGTTTCTGAAATAATAACAACTGAATGCTGCCTTATTATGAGCGATCAAAATGTAATTTGTCTAGATTAATGTTATTGATGTAATTATAATAAGTTTTTTTGAAAAATTTTCTTATATTAGGGTACTAACCAAGATACTAACATGTTACATCATCGGATTTATGGCTCAGTGGTAGAGCATTGGGTTATAAATCCGGAGGTCGAGTGTTCGAACCTGGGTGAGGTGAATTTTTCATCTGTGGCGGAGATGGAAATTACCTTAGACCAGTTCCGAGCATTCTACCGGCTACTCCGAATTAGGTTTTCCTGCAGTTTTCCTAATTCGTAAGGTAAATACCGGAGTAGTATAGACCAACTTTAAGACCTTCTGCAGAGGCACCTCTAAATAGCATTATACGGGTCACTCTGTAATTGGGCGCATGCCTGTTGAGGGCCCAAAACAAGAGAGGGATAATAATAATAATAATAATAATAAAAGAGAAAAAAAATCTCTATCAAATGAGATGAGCCTAATGAAAAGGTGCACTACCATTTAAAAAAAATCAATTGTTATTCATTACTCATTTGTTTTCTGAAATAAAAATAACTGGATGCTGCCTTATGGGAAATCAAATGTTAAACAACTTTCATATATAAAATATTTGTACACATTCAATATTTACTATATAAGACTTTAGAAAATGCTAAAAACCCAAAGAAGAAAAAAGGGTGGCAAAAGGGCCGACCAAGGAAGGCCAATAGCCAGTTGGTAGTCAGTAGTCAACCGGAAGCCAGTAAGCAATCGGTGACTAACGAAACGGAAATAAGTAGTGATTCAAACTGTGATATCGTAAAATAAATCAATTCGTGATAATCTAAATTGTACAGTGACTGTGATATAAAAATCTGTGATAAAAAAAAAAAAATTATTTTATGTGTTTGTGAGCATTTTAGTGATTATTATTAACATCTGTGATATTTTTGTTATATAAACTATCTTAACAATGGATAATAACAAAATCATACAATGGAACTGCAGAGGTATAATAACTCGCTACAGTGATCTCAAAATGCTATTGCACGAACATAACCCGATGTGTTTTTGCGTTCAAGAAACCCATCTCGGTCACAATCAGCCCTATACGTTGAATGGTTTCAAAGTAGAACGGCGAGATGGTATTAATGAACAAAGAAGTAGTGGGGGAGTGTTAATAGTCTTGCGCAACAATGTTATATATGAAAATGTTCAACTTAATACAAGTCTTCAGGCTGTTGCTGTAAAGTTAATTCTACCATGGCGAATAACTATTTGTAATGTTTATCTACCGGATGCTAATTGGACAATTGAAGAATTCAACCAGCTAGTGAATCAACTACCAAAACCTTTTATGATTACGGGAGACTTCAATGCCCATAACCCGATGTGGGGATCCGAATATACGAGTAGTAAAGGGCGAATTCTGGAAGGTTGGATAACTAGAAATGATGTGATTATACTCAACACTGGGTCACCTACACATCACATTGCTAGGTCAAATAACTTTTCGGCGATTGACCTTACTCTAGTCACTACCAGTCTAAGTCCTCATCTCAAGTGGGAGGTAATAAGCGATCTACATAATAGCGACCATTTCCCGATTCTAATTCAAACGGATGTTCCGGAAATGGAAAAGACTACATATAAGAAATGGATAATGAGTAGGGCAAACTGGAACCTATTCTCCAGTCGTCTTGTTGCACCCGATCCTGTAAACGTCGAGACAATAACAACATGTATAAAACAAGCAGCCGAAGTTAGCATTCCCAAAACAGGTGATAAACAGATTAAACGACCATTACCATGGTGGAGTCCCGAAGTAAAAAATGCAATAAAAAATAAAAAAGTGGCTTTCAGACGCTACCAGAGGGAACCGTCTATCGCTAATCATATCGAGTTTAAAAGAGCCAGAGCAGTGAGCAGACGTATTGTGTTGGAGAGCAAAAGAAATAGCTGGAATCAGTACACATCAACAATAACATCAGCACAAGATACACAGCAGGTGTGGCGCAAGATAAAAGCTATATCGGGAGGTGCTGGTTATCAGCAAATAAGTTTTCTTAAAAGAGAAAACGGCGATGTTCTTGACGATGAAACTGAGATTTCTGACCTACTTGCGTGCCATTTTGCTAGCACAAGTAGCAACGATAATTATAGCCTGCAATTTGCACTACACAAAACGGAACGTGAAGTGCTTCTCGACTTTGATACGGATCATGATCTCGAGTATAATGTTCCTTTTACCATGGATGAGTTAAACTCAGCCATTGGAGAACTTAAGAACACTGCTCCAGGTCCTGATGAAGTAAGTAACGAAATGTTAGTCCATCTCACAACTCAAATAAGGTCATCTATACTAGAGCTATTTAATGACGTATGGCGCCACAGCGTATATCCGGAACAATGGAAGATGGCTACTATAATTCCAATACATAAACCCGGAAAGAATCCATTACACGCCGCAAGTTATCGACCAATAAGTTTGACTTGCTGCTTAGGTAAACTTTTGGAAAAAATCGTAAACAAAAGGCTTCAATTTTACCTTGAGAAGAACAACTTGATAGCGCCTTACCAAGCAGGTTTTAGAAAAGGCCGATCGACAATAGACCATCTAGTCGAATTAGAGAACTCGATAAGGGAAGCTCACAGGAAACGACAACACCTCGTAGCGGTATTTTTTGATATAAAGGGAGCCTACGATATGACCTGGAGGCATGGAATATTAAATAAATTGCACAAATACGGTGCGAGGGGTAACTTACCTAAATTTATTAAATCGTTTATGACCGATAGATATTTCCGGGTGCGGATAGGAAACACTTTGTCAAAAGTTCAACGACTGGAAAACGGTGTACCGCAAGGCTCCACGCTGAGCTGTACACTGTTTTTGATTGCAATTAACGAGATTGCGTACGGAGTGGAGCCTGGTGTTTCTCGGGCTCTATATGTTGATGACTTGGCGATATATTGCTCCGGGGCCACTGTAGGCCAGATAAACGTTAAACTGCAAAATGCGATCAACAACATTGTGCGCAATGGAAGTGAAATCGGATACCAATTTTCCAGGGAAAAAACTAAATGCGTTCATTTTTGTAAATTGCGCAGACCACATTATGATCCGTCACTCTATATCGGAAATAGACCAGTTGCGTGTGTGACAGCGACAAAATTTCTGGGATTGACGTTTGATAGCAAACTAACGTGGAACGCGCATATTGAACACCTGAAAACAAAATGTATGAAAACCATGAATATCATCAAGGTATTATCGCGTACCAAATGGGGTGCTGAGGTGCAAATGCTAATAAACGTATACCGGGCCTTAGTTATGTCGCAAATCGACTATGGAGCGATTGTATATGCATCAGCCCGTAAATCGTCGCTATTACTATTAGATAGGGTGCATAATACTGGAATAAAGTATTGTTTAGGCGCGTTTCCTACCACTCCTATACACAGTCTTTATTGTGAATCGAACTTGCCTCCATTGGATACGCGAAGACAACAGCTGATGATCAATTATATGGTTTAAATAAAATCAGATCCCACTCACCCGAACAATGTTTTCCTATTTCCAGACGGAAATGTTTTTGACGCCAGGCCAACTATCCCACGACCGCTCGGGATACGGTTTAAAGAGCTCCTGGGGGAACTACACGAAACAATACCTCACCTAGTGCAGAAAAACCAGTACAATTGCTACCCGTGGTTGATACCTAAAATTAAAGTAAAATTAGACCTTAAGAATCTAAACAGAAATTTAGCAACAAAGCCACAATACTTACGTCTATTTGAGAAGATCGCTAACAACTACACAAATAAAACCCTATAACCTCGGTGTATACTGCGGAACAGTTTGCATTATGGAAGGCTCTGGTACACATTCCCGTAGAACCTACAAATAAAACATATTTGATTGTTAGCGACTCCTTAAATGCCATAAATGCTGTAAAAGATATATACACGAGAGATCCTCTGGTTCGTTTATGCCAAGGTTGTTTGGTGGACCTGAGTGAGCATAATGCCAGACCTGTTTTTGTTTGGGTACCTGGACATTCTGGCATTAATGGAAATGAAATGGTTGATAGAGCAGCGAAAATTGCAATAACAGGTCCACGAATTGATGAGGAGCATGTCAAAATGACGGACGTACAATGTCACCTTAAACAAAAAATAATAGAAATCTGGCAAGGTAAATGGGAAAGACAAAGTACATCCCTATCACATGTTAAACTATCGGTGAAGGAAAAACTATACCTGAAAGATTTTCGTAGAGATGAACAAATAAAGATACATCGGTTAAGAATAGGCCACACAAATGTCACGCACCAATATCTTTTGACGGGTGATCCCAGGCCGCGATGCAATGCGTGTAATGTTGATCTCTCTGTGAAGCATGTAAGCTGTGATTGTGTTAAGTATGTAAATCAGCGTGATAGGTTTAACCTAAAGGAAGATGTTAGAAGCAACCTTAACGAAATACCAAACTTGAAGAATGTGCTAAAGTTCCTGAAAGCAATAGGGATATACAGCAATGTATAAAAATATAAAGTTCTAAAATACTTACTTTTTACTTGGAAGGTATGTGTATGAATGGCGAGAAGACCCAAGTAGTCGAAGCCATACCTAAAAAAAAAAAAAAATATTAAATATAATAATAATAATGGATTTTATTGATTAGGAAAAAAAAAATGGTTCCTACGCCATAACCAATAGGTTCAGGGTCAGATAAACCAGTAGGTTACCTGTTCTTCCCCCTGTACCCCTAGACACATAAAGAATATATTTGTACACATAGATTCTACGAAATAAAACAATTAGTAGAGTTCAATTTTGATTGAAAACAAGCACAAATCTACTAAGTAACTACCTACCAACAAAGGAAAGAAAAAAAAACAAAACAATAATAGAATAATGTTAAATTATGTTAAATTTCGATCTCTGATTAATAATTTTTTAATTTTCCGTTTAAAGGCATCTTCGGACAGGGGCAATAACTGTCTGTACACCATGTACCAACCAACTCCATACCATAAAAAATGGGACCTGTATAATGGAGGTGACCAGGGAGCTCTACACACACGCATATAGTTCTATATACTTCTATAATGTAAAAATTGTAATATTTATCTTTGTGTTGTTTGATAAACATTGAGTTTTTTCAAGGTTAATTTAATTTAGTAGTAGGTAATTCTGGGATAGTTTGTTTGTTTGTCGCGTGCCTGTTTACGAATGAAAATTTAAAGTCTTTAGTAATTGTAATTACTGAGATCTCAGCCGGTCAGCCAGCCAGCCAGCCATAACGAATATAACAGCGTTTTGAAGTCTAACTATTTCTTTAAAAAAATGCACTAATAATTAAGTTGTTATACTGGTAGCGCTATCTAAAGGTAAAATTATAGCACCTACAAAAACCATATCGAAATTAATTTCTTAAATTATCGATCTCACAAGTAATCTAACTCAAAATAGACTAGAGCCTGCACATCTACACTACATCAGACAGCCAGCCAGCCATAACGAATATAATAGTGTGTTTTTGTCCAAAAATACGCTAAAAATACTAGCACATACTGGGTTTTTGATGTAGGTAGATTCGAATTTTAAAGACAAAAGTGCATGATTTCATTTAAAATGTTCAAAGTTACTATTCCACCCCTAAATTTAAGAAAAGAAAAAATTAGAAAACTCGAAATATCGTCTTGTAACACTTTAGAAAACGCATCCTGTATATTGCATCAACCATAAAATGGTTTCACCTTGTCTTTAGAGTCCATACACCTTTCTTGTTTTACACCGTGTTATTTTATAGCATAACAGCATTTTCTTTCTACCCAAATCAAATCTAACTACTTGTATTTCCTCTATGCTACTAGTTAAATGAATAGCTGCAGAACTTTTCGTTTTGTTCTATTTTCTACAAAAACTGTCCATGATAAATAACTACAAATGGACTTTATTTTTTAGTGTAAAATCCAGTGTTGACAAGAAACAAATTGGACTTTAATAAATTTTGATAACCTGCGACTGTTAATAAAACTCAAAAAGTTTAACTTGTGTGCATCAGGTGCTTCCCACACAGAAATCGAAAGTTTTACCATCCCTTGTTTAAAGCTATGTTAGTTGTCTACCCACAGGCGTCTCTTACTAGAACAGAGATGATATCAGGGATTAAACCAGGTGCACCATAACTCACTAGACTATGTTTGTGCGAGTTATCCCTCATTGCCATAAATAAACTCATGACCCCGAAATACCTACTTAATGCTTTCAAATAAATCTATTCGCTACACTGTTTTAAAAGCTTACGTTTCCGAGCTTACATTTCCGTATAACTTAATAAAAAAAAAAACGAAAAACTGACGAAAAAATTATGCTACGATAAAGGACTTAGGTCGCGGTCTCGTTCTTAACCCAGCAGGTACTTAACACAGACTAAGTTTCTTATAAGCCAAAGGTGCTAAATTAGTTTGCAAATTTGTATGTGCATAACTAATACGTTTGCTGAGCTACTTAGTTAAGGTTTGGATTAAAGAAACTCCCAATAGTGTACTTTAAGGCAACCGAAATTTATTTCAGTTTAAAAGGGTTTCCAGGCGATAGTTAAATAAGATCCAAGTGCAATACTTGAACATATCTTACAAAAAAAGCACGGTCTCAGACGTACTATAATTTTAATTAATTCGTGTAACCGGCGGATGTTCGAAATTCGTGAAGTCATCTGCCCTGCACAATAACGTAATGATAAACGGCGTAAACATATAATTAAGTGAAAATGCTCAAGTCACGGAAGGTATTGAACCGAAGTTGCAACTCATTTTGAACGTTTAGATGCCACAATAAAGGCATTATGTAACGTATACGTCTTTTCTGCTCCGAGTCAACATTAATACCAAATGATTTGATGGACGGAAAGTTTCTTTGTTTCTTTTGTTAGACGTTTCCTTAAAATGGATAGAATATATCTTGACAGAATAAAAGAATGTATATATTGAAATGTTTGCTTTGAAATATGCATTCAAAATATAGAGAGTCAAGGTGGATTCTCTGTTTTGCCACAGGTAAACGTGCGAATAAAGAGACATGCAATAAAGCGTATAGATAACTTAAAAATATTTAAGAATTGGAAGTTCGAGAACAATATGTCATCGAAAGTGCCCCGTAAGGTATCAATGGTTGAAGAATTTCAATTCGGGAGTTTTAAGGATAGTAATAGTAATAGACAAACAACTAAGGTTGTAGCACAATTGAATTTTGCCGACACGATAGCGATAACCAATATCATATATCATTTTTATTTGTAAATAACAATTCTATACACAACAAATTTACACATTTACACAATTTACAATCTAATAACTAGATTTAATCAGTATACATAGTTGGAAAATGAAACAGTATACACGGAACTCTTGAAATTCTTAATATTTTTCGAATTCTTTCTACTTTTTGCATTCTACACATTCGTATGGTACTATGATTTTGTTTGATTCATGCTTTTATAGGAGACAAAGAAGGGGTTTCACTGACTGACAAAGGATGGAGACGGCAGCAGGTGACATCTAACGGAGGAACTTTACAACACCCTCTTACAAGAATGTACAAAAAAAATTATCAACTCCTGACGATGCGAAGTTTTCTACCAATTAACCCCCCCCCCCCCCCACCAACATCCAATGGAATTCATTTTTAGCTGTCAATCACATGATTTCTTTTCCTAAATCAGTATAAAAACATCCGTCTGTAATCTACGCGTACGATCTTAAGGGGTGGCATGGCAGCATTCGGTCTGACTGCAGCAACGAGACCTTAGATATTTCGTATTAGGTTGACACCATGACCTACTCAACGGTATGATCATCAGGATCTATTAATTGTTATATAGTTTTGGTTTTATTACCCATCATACTCGTCTGTACTATTCATAACGTCATTCTTGGTCTCTTGGGAATGAATTTCGCTCAATGCTTTGTTGCAATAAACTCCGGACTCGATTAAGACCAATGACAGTTTCGTTATATTCCTTTCTTTGACCACAGTTCCTCCACTACACTAACTGTCAATTAGTCAATACGAAACCAAATAATTAATATGATCAAATAAATTGGAATTTAGAATTTTATAATCTCTTCTCGTACATATCCGGCATCTGCTATAAAAAAATAGTAATACTGACTTGAAACTTCTCAATTTAAGGGAGTCGGTGGCTTCGATCAACTTCCGAAAATTCCAAAGAATTTTTTACAGAAATTTTGATTCACATCCAAAGTAACTTGGGCACCAATAAAAAAATCTGTACGTGAAAACTCTATTCAGGTCGCATAAAGGATTCGAATAAACAGTAACAAAAATTTATTTCGAAACACATGGAACAATTAAAACAAAATCCCTGCATGAAAGAAAAGCTTACTCTGCACGAAGGTAATCGATAATAAAACTTTCACTAAGCAGACAACTGATTTGTTTACTTACTCGATCTCTTTCTGAAAACGAACAAACCGTTTTAAAAGCTTTCCACAAACTTTTAGTACTTACTTCATTTGACGTTAACTTAATTTTTTTATTACCTAAGATTGTTTAATTTCTTGTGCACACTTTATTTCGAAAAAGACGTCGCGGAAGCTAATAGCTAGCAGCAGCAGCAGCTTCGATTTTACGTCGATTTCAATATTTAAGAAAAAATCACTTCCACTACACCATAAGATAATCTCTTTGCTCGAGATTTTTCGAATCAACCGCCAATCACAATAAAAAATGATAACATCAACTTCGAAGGAACACCAAA